TTTTTTTTTTTTGCAGTCGAAATGAAGAATTGGATGACAAGATGATTATCAAGAGGTTAAGGAAAAGAGTTCTTGAACTTGAGAAAGAAATAAAAAACATGAAACAAGGAATTCAAAGTCCCTGTAAAGAAACTGACAATGTAAGATAATTATGTAGTTAATATTTTCTTGTCTTATGAAAAAGGGATTACCACCTATGAGTAAGGCAGTGGTATAAAATCATTATTGGCAATCCTTGGCTATTTAATCTAATTTAAGAAATATGACCAGACTTGAGGTATGCCTGGCTGTAATCTGAACATATCCTTAACTTAAACTGTAGATAATGCGTCTTGCCCAAGGACACAAGCAGTGTCACCAACCCTGGACTAGAACTCACAACTTTTCAATTGGAAGCGTTAACCATGCCATTATGCCACATGCTTCCCCATAAAGTCCCCTCAATGAATTATATTGTAATTATCGCTACACCTTGTTACTGTATGTATTTTTATTAGATCGTTGAAGTCAGTAGCGGTGTTTGTAATGAGTGCAAAAGAAGGCAGGAACCAGCAAACCTATCTATCAATGTGATACAGAATGCACAAGTACCAGAAGATCCTACTGATATACCTGTGACCGATCCAACTATCGACCGAGATACAAGGAAGCGGTGTGTCAAAATCATGCATGGATTCATCGGAGGAAAGATTAAGGACCCTGTTGCTTCAGGTGAAGATAGCATGTAACTTTGATAGTAGTAATCAAGCCCGTAGCCAGGATTTTTCTTTTTGATACTGAAAGGGTACTTGCGAGGACCATTGGCTGGGGCCAGGGGCTGCCAAGGGCCCCCGGGGGGTCCAAGGCCAAAACCCCGGTGGTTGTCCAGCATTCTAAGCATTTACAGGTGTTATTTAATTGATTTGAGAAGCCATACATTAAAAAAAAATGTATATATTAAAGAGGTAATTTTTTTGAGTTGGGAAAAGATAAAAAACAACCAAAAAAACTACTACTTTAGTACTACAGTACTGGTAATTGGTAATTTAACAACAGTAGCATGATACAAACTCCAAAGAATCCAGTATGGTTTATTCTTCATTTTTTATTTATATAGCACTTTGGAAGTTGTATCATACTATACTCACTTAAGACAATCAATAACAAAAAGAACTGAGACAAATTTGTATGGTTGGTTGTAGCGTATTATAATCATATATATATACCATCTCGGTATTTCTGAGTCAAGGTTTCGGGGCCTGAATTTTTTATGTTACTAGGTAGGCCTAACAATCAGGTATTAAAATAGGACTTTTAATGATGATAGGCTCTAGGCTAGGCCTAAAGTCTAGGCTAGTTAGCCTTTGTTGAAAGGCACTTCATGAAAAGGGGGGTTTGTTGGGTTCGAACGAACCCCCCCTGGCTACGGGTTTGGTAATGTTGACGGTGGTGCGGCAGTGGCTACAGCAAGTTGAAATACCGTAATTGTTAACCATATTTCAATAATTATTATATCAATTATAAAACAGTACCGCGCTTTATAAGTTTTTTCATATAATATTTTTTCATTTCATGTTATTTTCTTTCACGCTTTTGCATTTGAAGGGATAAAAAATATGGATCAGTTTAGAATTTGTCTCCAACTTCTTCGAGAAATGTTGATGAGGTCATATGCAGTGGGGCAAAGGTCAAAGGGTAGGCAGGTCCTGCAACATCCCAATTCAAGATCTGCAGAAAGCTTTGCAATAAGGTAAATACAGTGGATTCACAGTGGGATATTTCTTTCAAATCAATTTTTTTCATTTGTACTTTTTAGTTATTGAAGTTAGAATGTTGGATTTTATCTTTCACAGTTGTTAAGGATGTAATTATATTTAAAATAATTCCTAAAAAAAGATATTGAGAATTTTTTTTTTTTAGGTCTAAAAGTACACCTAACTTACAGACTGCCGTCACAGTTGGTATTTCAAAAAGGGATGATCGTTATCAATCTCCATTTGAAAAGAAACAAGAAAATGCTATAAAGAAAGTGAGAACCCGTGTGCAATGCAGGCACAGTGACCAGAAGATACAGAAAAAGAATCTTTTAGAATTTCAGACAAGTATACGAGAACAACAACTTATGTTACTGCACAAAGAACTGAAGTAAATATATTGAATATTTTAGCATTTTAGTTTTGTTAAGAAAAATAAATCAATCTTCAATGAATATTAAGGAGGTTATAAAAAGCTAATGAAATACTGTAAATATAATATTGAATAAAAACAATGAGCATAAAATTAATTTGTTTTGTTCAAAATGACTTTTTACATAAATTATAATGTTAATTTTTTACAGTGGGAAAGTTTTAAAAGTTAAATCTCAGGTTGCTCGGCAACGGGCCTTGCTCCGCAATCTCAAGGATAACTTAGGTGACGCTGGAGAGATTGAAATGGAGAAGACTGCACTGAAGCAACTAATTAAACGAGGGGTGAGTCAGATCATATACAAATATAATACACATACCCCAGTAAATCTAGAAGGAAACACAGAAGCTATTAATGTGACTACCTAATCATAATAAACAATAATATATTGAGAATTTCATTAGTTCACTATATTAGTATACAAGCTTTGTATATAAATATTTGTAGATAATTCCTTCTAATTAGTGATGTTTGTGGTTCATTGGTAGCTTTCTTTAGATGATTAAAATCAGTCAATATCAATGCTGGAATAACATCCCATTCCTAAACTATAGTAAATCTGATGAATGGTAACAAATTGAACTTGTGTAATTTTTCGTAATAATTTTCTTGGTTCTGAGAAAATCAGGCGCAGATCCTGTAGTGGGGCACGGAAGGCATGTGAACCCCCCCCCCCCCCCGTTTTGCTAATAATGCATGCAATGCATATAAATGTTATGTGCTCTAACTTATCTATTCTGAAACTCCCCCACCACCATTTGAAAAATTCTGGATCTGCCCCTGAAAACATTTAAATCTAGTCTCATTTTAACTATATTATAGTGTAATAATAACAAAGTATGATTGCTTTTCACTAAACATTTGTTATACACCAGTACATAATAAATTAAAACCAAAAATTCCAATTGATAGATATTGTCACCAGTTAAGAGTATTTAACCAAATTTATTATTTTTTAAAAAACTGCTATCACTCAAAAAGACTAAAGAGATTTAAGAAGATTCAGTTTATTTTGATAGACACGGTATGAAAACAGACTTCAGGTTGTCAACGAACAATTAAAAATCATTGATCAACAATACCAACATCAAAAGGAAGCTGAAAGTTGTACTGTCACCAGTGCTGCTTCAGTGGAGTTAAGAAATGACAAACCATCTACACAAAATCAGTCCAGTAATCCCTTGATTGGAAGTGAAAGTGATGGAAGAGGGAGCGCAGACCTAGAGGCTACAATTAGTAGCTTTAAAGAAAGTGTAGCTAACAAAAATAGTGGAAAAGATGGTAAAGTAAATACAAGGAAAGTATTGGAGATCCTTAAAAAGGAAGAAGAAAAGCAGGCTAAGGTAATTAATTGTGTTTTTTATGGCAACCTGTTAATTTATTTAATAGTCCTTACATGTTTTTAATTATATGAACTTTATTTATTAAAAATATTTGATCCTAGATTCAATCAGTTCTGGATGAGGTTCGGTTGGAGTCTGTTAACAGCCATCTGGCTCTTAAAGAACAAGTCACCAGACAGAAACTCGAGGACTTTAGAAAGATGTTACGGCAATCTAAGGAAGCTGGTAATACTTCAGGTGGAAACACAAACTCTCATGATCTTCACACAGCCAGTATTTCATCTAGAAAGTTAGTGAAAGCTTCTACTTATAATTGTAATACAAGTGAAAAAGACAGTCAAGACAGCAATACAATTTCTATGACATCTACTCCAACAATTGATGTGTATGTAGCACCTAAGGTTGCCAAAAATCAACCAAAGAATGCCTGGAACAAGAGGCATGAAGATCATGCGGTACAGAGAACTGACTTCCATTACAATTCCACTAATTCCAAGAGTGAAATTATGGCACCCAAGGATTCTTCCGCAATTGTCGTCAGCAATGACTTTTCTGCTGGTGCTAAAAAGAGTGGTATTGCTCAAAACTTCCAAATATCAGCTTCCACAATTCACCACCAGACATCAAAAACCTCTTTTGACACAGCATTAGATAACATGTTACAAGACTCATTTGTTAGTGGTAGTGATAAAGCAACCTTAACCAACAGTGCAGGCACTTCTATGGTGGTTGCACCTACTAATCACGCGACATCATTAAATTTAATAAATGAAAACAATTCTATGCCGACTTTAAGTGGAGATGATCTGAAGGCGACTGACTACTCTACACCAGATAAGACTTCGGAACCAGAACCACATCATTCTTTTGTCAAGAAATCTGATGACTTCAGTAAACTTCAACAGAAATTGTCCGAGTATTTAGGTGCAAGACAGTCCTCCACTCCCAAGACAAGACCAACTATGATGAGTAAGGAAATGACTTCATTTGCATGTTGCATATAATTTAAATTTTAAATTTTATTTTATTTCCTTCACATCCAGCAGCAAGTACACTTGCCACTTACAGAATGAGAATGATGCTTTATAACTTTATACTAAATCTCTCTATGAGACTTAGGGAATGGAGTTGATTTTAGTTGTGATAAAAAGTCCTGCTGTGGCAGGAATTGAACCCAGGACCCTGGGACCAGAAAGCAGGTGCTATTAAACTGCACTCCAATTGAAGGATGTTTCATTATTATACTTTGTGGGGGTGTTTCATAAAGCAGTTGTGGGGGAGTGAATCCCATTGTGATCATTCTTTTGTGTCCTTATATTTTAAGTTTGTCTTTTAGATGTATGTATTAACATTACCTTCGTTTAATTTGCAGGTGCAAGCCATGGGAGTCTTCAATCAAGTGTCGATATACCATCATTTTATAATCCATCTCAGGACAAGCTGACCTCAACTTCTACGACATCCCCAAAACATTTAGCACAGGATTTAAGGTCAAGAGACTTTCTACAAAGGTCTTTGACAACACTCAATTCATCAGATAGCAAGGGTCTGCCATTTGACAGAGCCTATAGGCAGATGTTCCCCAGTACAGCATCTCTCCCATCATACTCAAACAGAGCTTATGAAAATGAAGTTAATGAATTTTCATTTAAAAGTAATACTACACCTAAACTTCCATCAGATATTTCACTTCCACTGCGTAAAGACTCTTTTCCAAGCTCCTTCCTTCCGGAACCATCAAAGCTTTTAGCAGCTCCAGTAGAAGATAATGATAGAGAGGTTTCTTATGTAAGAGCTGTTAAGGAGAATAAACTACGAGTGAAGAAGATCCATGAAGCACGGGAAGCTGCTGCTGTTATTCAGAAGGCATGGAAGGGGTATGTAAAGAAGAAGTAAGAGATGTCTGCTAAAGTCTAAATACATTATTGGCTAGAAATGTTCATTTTACATGTATATCAGGAGAAAGCATGGAATCCCTTCTAAAGTCATTACTAGAATTGAACAATTTATATTAGAAAGCATGATATGTCTACTAATGTCAATGTAATTACCAGCTGGAGTGGACATACATCAAGAGGAAAATCATGAATATTGTTTATTTTTTGTGCAGAGGATTAATGAAAACAAAAAGATTTTTTATTTTGTGGATTGCTTGTAGGATCATGGCAGATACTGTATAAGAGCATGGATTTTATAAAGAAAAATGTGTTAACTTGTATTATATTTATTTTTATTGTAGAATATACAGTGTTTAATAATACTGTATTAATATTATTATTATTTATTTGAATAGAAACCATATAAGGTGGCATTTATAAAATCATTAAAACATGATGTGCTCAATTTACATTCTGTCCAATAACTATTTATTAGGCAATTTTTTCTGAACACATTTTTGAAATATTTTGTAGTCTTGTCTTCAATGGCATTGTCTAATTTACATAAACTAGATGTTTTTGCAGAGTTGTGAAAATTTAGTTAAAGTCAGTCAAAAATAAACAAATTTATCTATTACTAAATTGTTTAAGTTTAAAAGAGTATAAATTTTCAGATAAGCGAATATGAACAAGATTAAAATACATAGGTGATTTATTGCTTGATATCTTGTATCACACCCATATATATATACAAGGGTGCATAACATACTATATAGCACAAAATTATATGCAATAGCGGGCTTCCCTTTTGTTCACTATTTATTGTTAAATTCTATCTTTTTTGTATCAAATAGCTTTGATACCTTTGTACAAAACCCTGTTTCAAATTGTAACAAAATATACAAGCATTTCTATTGCATACTAAAATTATTTTGTATATGTACAGATACACCTCTAAACCAAAAACTAATTGTGGGACCAGGTTTTTTATGGTCTCTATTTGGAAAATATAATTCAAATAATCATAGATATAAACTGTAGATAGGTGTTTATTCAGAATCACAGAAAAGTGGTCTGTTTTGAGGTGGTCTATAATTGTTCCAAATGGTATTTCCACAGTCTATTGCTTTTCGGAATGTCACTTTTTACTATAAGCCAATTCATAGTTTTAACTGCGTATGCCGGTATCCAAGGTCACCTATGCTGTTTGCAAATATCGATTAACCTTGATACAGGCAAGTGCAGTTCAAACAAGGATGGGATGGTGGTACAGTAATTATGATGACAACAGAACTGAACAAACTCGAACCAAACACATTTTCATACATGATTGGTGCCTGTTTGCTTAATCCATGGTACCCAGTTCCCACCATGTAGCTTTGGATCTGAATTCATATCTTTGTCTTTGTTAGCTGCTGGTACAACAGTTGGTAATATTTCATCAAGTCTTGCCTTCATTTCAGAAGTTATATCTGAGAAAGTAAACACCCAACTGTTAGCAGCCTGTACTACTGGTACTATTCCTTCATTGCATTTTGTTGTGACACTGAAATGTCATTGAGTGGATTAAATTATATATTTTTAGTGAAGTTAGCTTTGCATATGCCTGTTTCATTTATAATTATGTTCTTGTACTGTTTAAAAATAAATTAAATGCATTTCAAATTCACCACACCCCGTAATGCACATCTATACCCTTCTAAGTAACCTCGCTACTTTACACTGCCCTGGAACTAATTTAAGCTTACCTGGATAGATATCTGCAACATTGTTATATTCACATGGGTCCAGCTTGATGTTGAAGAGGCATGGAGCCTTAAATGGTTGGCAGTTGGTACTAGCATTAGTAGGCTTATTAGGGCAGTGGACTACTGTAGCCCTGGGATCTGGATTCACTGCAACACAATTATATTATATTGTCATTAATTTTTTCAGTCATTATAGACCGATCCATTTACAGTGATATTTATCACTCTTTAGATGCCATAGCTGGGGACCTCTGGGGGGGGGGGGGAGGGGATTCTATCATCTGCTACAAATGATTGGACAGAAAGTATTTTATTTTCTTTATCATTTTACTCTAAATAATTTGCACCACTGATCATGGACATGAAATGTACTCAGAAGCACTGAGAAAGTCCCCATCAATGGTGGCATCAATAGAGAGCGCCCTTTCTAATTGGATTTGTCTAGACCATAAGAAATGCATTAAAGCCATTCATTTAGACAATTAAAATTGCCTATGGCGAGTTGTTCATAATATAACTGATATGAAATCACTTCGTGTGACTTGCAGAAATCGATCACTGGAAAGTTTACAAATAAATATTATTCCCGAACACATTTTTAAAACGTAAAAATCAAACAAACCTTTTCCTTGACCTTCAGTTGGATACCAATCATTCCACTTATCAGGATACAAACTGTTAACAACCAACTTATAATCGCCAACTCTTAATGCGGAGTAGTTCCCAACAGTGTCAATGTTATGTAGAATTTCCAACCTAGGACTTTGTTTACCACTAACAAGAGAAATGAAGAAAAATATTTTAAAATCTTTAAATAATTCTAACGATTATTCAATCATTCAAAAATAAATATTAGGGTAATCGAAGTTATACTGTACCTTGAGACTGTGTCCCACTGATTAACACCATAGAGGTTCTTCAAAGTACTGCTGTTACCCCCTGCAAGGTGATATATAGTTGGAAACCAATCACAGACATGTATCAAGTCTTCTGACACCCTGCCAGGCTTCTCCAGCAGTGGGCTATTCACCAGACCAACCCCACGAACTCCCCCTTCCCACAAAGTGCGCTTTGAACCTCGCAATGGTTCGTTACTGGCACAGTTTCCGTCAAAGCCACACACAGGTCCGCCATTGTCAGTGGTGAAGATGATGACGGAGTTCTCGTAAAGGCCGGTTGATTTTAAAGCTTTTGTGACATTTCCAATTCCATCATCTAATGCAGACACCATGGCTGCAAAGATATGAAAATATGTACATTCAATTCAATTAAATTTAATTCAATTCAATTTTTATTTCGTCCATATAAATGGAAAATATATTGAGTACATTACATTTACAATTAGAAATTTTAAAATACATTAAAATTACAGAATAAGACATTAAAATACAACACCAGATTCACAAACAACACATTCAATTCAATTATAGTCAAATCTAAAAATTCTTTTTTTTTCCTATTCTGCACTGCCAAAATCAAGAACATTAACAAACACCTAAAAGTGTACTAAGTCACTGCAAAGTTAAGGTTCCTTATTACTCCCAAAAAGTAATGCAACAACATTTATAAAATATAGTACTTACAGTATACAATACAATATAAACAAGATAATCTGAGATTACAAACCCTTAATTATTTTGTTATTTTTGTTATTTGTTCATATTAAACATTTAAAAAAAATATGAAAGATAAGATGCACAAATAATAATAAAAAGAGTGAAATTTGAACCCCATACGTTCGATTATGTTATTATTGTCATTATCACCCTTCTTTGTGTGGCGAGGGTAAATATAGTACTGTACTTGTATTTAATAATAATAATCTCAATAAAAAAAATAAATTAATATTTTCAAATTATCAGAAAAGTATTACTTTTTATAATAATAATATTATTATTATCAATATGTGTACAGTATTGGGAAGTGATATGATCATGATAATAAAGAGTAATCACACATCCATGTATTTCACATCAACTGTACCTGCATACATTTTCCTCTTTTTAACATCTATATGTGGAAATCTGTCTATGTATTTTTGTGGTGCTTGTAGAAGCTGGTCTTCATTAGCACTGTGTACGGCTTGGTACGGTAGATACAAAAACAAGGGCTGCAAGAATGAACAAAATAATGAATATGGTAAAGGTATTATGATCAGGTGGGGTTCCAGGATTTATAAGACTGAAGAACGTAGAGAGTGAATGGTGAGTGGTGGTTTGAAGACACACATTCAGAGGGGGAAGGGATAACTGTATAAGGAGGTCTATTTTCAGGCAATGATAGTAGGGTCCAGGGTCTACATTCTTACCTTTTGTAATCCGAGTGGTTGTGGGTGTGGGGGGCTGGCACTGATACTAGTTCGGGAGGCAAAAAGTTTGCAAAGACAAAAACCAAAGAGGAAGATTTTTTTTCTTGATTTCACCAATAAATGTTTTTTTTTTAAATTAAAAGAAAAATGGCTTTCATTGTCATCTGAAATTCTCATAAAACAATATAATGCATACTGATGATTGGTTGATTGACTGACTGATATTTACCTTTTTTGAATTGACATGATTCCGTATAATGCTTTCTGCTTTCTCAGTGAATATTTCTGTTGAATACTGACCAAACACAGGCTTGTAAACTTCACCATTTTTATGAAAATCAAATCCCCATAACTGTCAAAATATACATAGAGTTGCAATAAAATGAAACATAGAGAATTAAAATGTACTGTTCCTTTTTGGTAGTTACTAGTATATAAATATAAAATATAAAAATTAAGCATACGTATTGCTTGTTGGCAAATACAGTTGAAGTGTGGTCAAAATAATCCTCTTTTCCAAGATAATATCCAAAGGTTGTATCAAATCCTCTTCTTATTGGAATATATTCTTCTGCAAAATGCCCCAAGTGCCACTGAAAGGAAAAGGTAATTCACTCACTTATAAGCCAATCACATGCAATATATGGAGTATGTAGTTAAATGATTAACTGATGATGCAAAAGTGGGGATATGCCTGCCACTTGAACCTCCATTGTCATCATCATCCATCATCATCCCCCATCATCATCATTATTATCACTATCACAATTATCATCATCATTATCATTCTCATCATAATCATCCTCATTATCAACAGTATTCAACCAGTTTGTCGAAGCCCAGTTTGCTGGAACCCACTTCATCAAAATCATGACAACCCAGTTTGCCGAAACCAAATTTGCCGAATCTTGTCGTCACCGAAGTACAGAAGTACAGCATACATACTGTGCTTTTGAAAACATGATGGGTGGGTCAGGGAGAAGCCATATTTTTATATAAATTAAAAGGCAAAATATTGGAAAACAACAATGTTGTGGAAAAACACACTTGAAGGCATGGCTATCAGTTAAAATTAGAAATAAAATGAAACGAAGGATTAAATATCATATCCCCGATCCCTCATGTTTTTTTAGTCGGCAAACTGGCATTCAGCAAACTGGGTTTCGGCAAAGTGGACTAAGCAATCTGGCATTTAGCAAACTGGCTTTTGGCAATCTGGCCTTGATCCTTATTATTATCACAATTAACAAATTCTGCATCATCTGTACCTTTCCCACCATGTGATTAGAGTAGCCAAGCTCATGTAGACATTCAGCTATTGTGGTCTCATTGGGCCTCAGTCCGTATGGGTCGGCTGCCCCTATTGTTCCATGGAACAGACCTGGGAAATAATTGTAACATTTTCTTTCATGCGAGCTAATTAAGTCATTTACAAAATAACAGTCAAATTTCAATTTAACCAACATATGCTTAAATTCCCACAGGATTTTCACACACTGACGGTCAACAGTAATCACTTAATTCTAATTAATTAATTAATTTATAATATGGGTGAATAAACAAATACTATAACAAATAATAATGGATATTGTCAACAAAATGTGTTGTACAGCAACAATTTGAAATCAGAGGATAGTCATTCACAATTTAATTTTTTTTTCAAACCTCATACAAGAGTATGGTTAGGCTCAGTGGCGTATCTGGGGGGGGGTTGTAGGGGCGCATTCCCCCTCCAAAAATTACACGCACCCCCCAAAAAATCACAGTCAAGTAGTTAAAAATCACCTTATTTTGCGAATTAGTGCTCCTCAACTGATAATCGAGCCCCCCATTTCATTTTCGCGCTCCCCCACCATCAGCACCCCCATTTTAAGACTTCTAAATATGCCATGGTTAGGCTCCACCTTGGAAAAATATATTTGCCAAAAAAGAAAGGCAACCCTAACATTTTAAGACTTTGGGTCAGTTGGGCTTTGGCAATTAATTTCTGCAATGATGAGGACGGTATTGCAGATGATGACATGGTTAGTTGAAAGACATAACAATTAAGTTACCTGTTTGAATTGGATGTCGGCCAGTCAATAGGGCACTACGGGTGGGCGTGCAGATGTGCTCTACATAATAATTAAAAAGAATTACCCCCTCATAGGCTAACTGGTCAATATTCGGTGTTGGGATCTGGTCAGACCCATGGAAACTGACATCATTCCAACCCTAGGTGATTTGAAAAAAAAATAATTACAAATCAAATTACATTTTTTTATTCATCATTTCATATCATAAATCAAATCAAATTTAATTTAATATCTATTTACACTGCATGATTTTCTTCTCTTTATTTTTATGGGACCTCCTCCTCTTTGACTTCAATTAACCCCTATCTTGTACCACAATTAATTTTTGTGGAATGACAACTTATAAATTGATTGATTGAACTGGTACAGATCTCTTTTCTAATAGTGGTCTTTAGAAAAATATATTATAAATATAAATAGACATTTGTTGAGCGCTACAGGAAGATGACCTTTAATTGAAGAGGTTTTTAATAGCTTACCAAGTCATCAGCTACAATCAAAATGATGTGGGGTTGACTGCCATGTCCATATACAAAGCACATCATGAGCAGCATAGTACACAGCATCTTAAAGTCTAGGCCCTACACAAAAAATGATATTAGTTGTTTATTTTAGTCTTCACACTACAAATGTGAAGACAAATACCTGTGAAAATAAATACTGGCTTATGATGTGGTATTTAAATTGGGAAAAATATCATAAATGAAAGATTTTTTAAATTACATGCATGCTACAAAACAAATGAATATTGAATATTTAGCTATATCTATCTGAGAATTGCCTTTTCAAAGAATGCACTAGCTTGCATAAGGTTATCTCCATTTTGTTTGAAGGTGACTGCCCAGTGGGTCATATTTGTATTAAAAAGCATGATAGTAGGTTAGCTTGATATGGGAAGTCTTGTTTGCATTTAGGAGATGTAGACATTATTTTGTTGTCATAGCAATCCCAAATACTAACAGGTTCAAGGGGAAATTCTCCCCTAGTAAAATCATCACTTGTTATCTGGTTTAGAATTACTGTTGTCATTCATAGACCCTTCTTGGCAAAGATTGGAGCCTTCTGCCCCTATTTTGGATATTTTTGTCACCTGCTGATACCCGGCTGGCATGCGCCATTCACTTAATACCTGCGAAACGTTCAAACATTAATGGAGTAGAGTAGAACTGTTAATACTCAGTAATAATTATTGTTTTAACTAACATGGTCTTAAGCAGGTACTGTTTAGCTCAGAGTGATTGCAAGGTATACCACACCTGGAAATTAGCCTAGTTATTTGGCTTTTCTGCACACATGTACTGTAGGCTACTGTATGTGTAGACACTGTACCTGACTGAGAGAGAGAGTGATGTATCTAAGAGTCAAATTACTGTTTTATTGATTATTAATTATTATGAGTAAATAGAACCTGAAAACAAATATGAAATTAACAAGTTACAATTCCCGATAGTAGTCCCGAGATTGTCATCTCATCAGTCATCAGAGAGCTCCATTCCACAATTCAAACTTGTTGTTTTACTGACATTGTGCAGGTCCCTGAATCATGTGATTTGACTGTTTGCTCTATCACATGATCTTCCTTCCTCAGTAATCAACACAACACAGCCTGCATGGTCACTGACGCGTAGCGTTTGCCTGTTTGTACTTTGCGGTTTTCATTTTCATCCCGGCAGTTTTAAACTCATTTTACAGAAAATAGTCGTAAGTTACACTTTGTGTAGGTCTTTGTCAATGCTTTAGTTAATTTAATTGTATATTTGCATTATTTACTGTGGCAGAATTTAATGTGCTCACGAGTGTAACCTAGGCTAGGCCTCTCTCTGTAGGCCAAAGGTAGTAACCAGCGCGCCAGCGACATCCCCACAGAGTGACATGGATGGTTTGCATGGTGCTTCTCAAGCAATTTCGATAACCTTTTCTGTAGTGTTGACAAAGTATACTGCTATCAGCACTTAAGTTCCTATCTCTATGGTCCGATGTACATTTCAAGCAGTATTTTGTTATTAGCAAGTTAATATGAAATAATCAGTATCTCCAGTTTTAAAAATATATTTGGTCAAATTTTGTGCTACTTTAATATTTTATTTTAAAGTATTACACCAGACCAATCAGGTTTTGTGCCAGATATGTTATTTATAGGTCTATTCTTGTCTTGGTTACTGTATCTCATTACTACAGATTGTTTTTTCTACATGTTTGGCAAAAGTTTATGGATGTAAAACTTAGGTAACTTTGTTAAACAAGTACTACTAGATATTCAGTTTAATATTAACAAACATTATAAAATTATCATCAACCATACACCTCAGATAACAGTTTCTTGTACTAGTAGGAACTAAAATGCATTCCTTTTGAAATGACAATGACTATGATTTTGTCTGTGTATGGTTAGAGTGCTATATATATTTAATACCTTTGCTTTTATTATTTTTTAATCATGATCATATGAATGTGTGAATTTTTTTTTTGATTTTGGGGGTGTTTTTGGGTTCTTTTATATTTTTTTAAATATTATATTAAGATATTTTATAATTAATACATGTTATGATCTCAATTATTTTCTTGTTCCAGAATACTTTTAGGATGGTCTCCATTGATCGGTTAATTGCAATAATTGCTGTTATTTGTGTAACAGCAGTTACATCTAAATATACATCCACACAACCAAACATTATTCTTATTGTAGCAGATGATTTGGTAAAATATTCTTTTCTATTCCATGTTATTTTAACATATTTTTACTTTACAAATTCCAAGAACTACACTATTTGATATTATAATAATAATAATGTTATACCTATATAGCGCATATTGCACATTGCCCCTATGCGCTTTACAGAGAAATAATATAGGCCAACTGAGAAAAAGCAAATAACAATAAAATAATAAATATAAAATAAAAATAATCATAATAGCAATAATAACAACGAGACTAAACTACTCCTATTCCTTAAACTAATTAATGGTTGGCCATTGACTCCGAGGAGCTCATCTGCCCTTTGTTCAGCTATTGGTTTTTCTTGCTGCTGGGTGACCATAAACACCCTCCCCTCAGCAGCCACTAAGACATATTTGAGAGGGTTGTCAGTTTAGTTGCCAACGCTTCGACCAGATGGAGTTTAATGTCGTACCCAGGACGTCCCTAACTACCTTAAGGGGCTTAATTATCTATAACCAAAAGTCATTCAGCTGTGATTTTCCTGGCTTAGTTTAGAGGGTTACTTGTGGTTTTGATTGATATACTAAGTAATTTTAATTAATCCTTAAACAACAACAAAAAAAGCCAATTATTGTCAGATTGTTGACAGGCCTATTAATTTTTGCCCATATCCTATTTTTGATACAGAAAGTTTTTTTTTGGTGTAAGACGAGACTTAATTTCTTTACTTTTAGCCAGCTTATTTTTGAAAGATGTTAGAGAAGGATGGAAGTAAGAAATAAAGAAATTACATTAATTTCTTACTCCAAGATACTGTAGCAATTGGTAGAGGAGATAATTATAATTTAGTTAATAAGAAAATTGCAGGTGCTTTTGGTAGAAAGATCAAGATAACTATTGCATTGTCGTATAAATAATAAAAATAAAATTTATTTTTATATCTCTCGGAAGTTTTTTACAGTTAAAATTTGTCTTTTTGCTCTTTAGGGTTGGAATGATGTTAGCTTTCATGGATCTGAACAAATACCAACACCAAATATTGATAAGTTAGCATATGAAGGAGTGATACTTTTCAACTATTATGTACAACCAATCTGTACCCCCACACGCAGTGCAATCATGACAGGAAGACATCCAATCCATACAGGTATCACTAACAAGTTATTTAGTTATTCGTTTATAGTAATTTGGTTCTTTAAAAAAACATTGTCTCCCTCAGGATTCGCACCCTAGACCACCCTTCTGATTGCCTATTGATTGCTGTTATCCCAAGCTATGATGCCATAATAATACTACAGGAATTTATAACGACACTTGTATTCCACTTCTCCATACCAAGTAATATTACTACATGTTTCCCACTAATTATAGACCCTCCAATTAATGATCACCTCTACAGTGATTAAAGACCACATTTCTGTGTATCCCATATTAACAAATGTGTTTTATCTTCATTATTCTAATTAGAGACCAAAGCTGCTAAAGACCATGGAAATCCTGGTCCCAAAAGTAGTCTTTAATTGGAGGGAAACCTGTATAATGTAACATTGCTTTTGATATAGATAATATAATATGCCAGCTTTTATATAGAGAATCATCATTAATAAAGTTATATTATAGCAGTAATAATATTACAATACAATGTTTTTAATATTATGTAAAATTGTAGGTTAAATTTTTGTCATTTTGTACATGAATTGTATTTATTTCTATCAATTTTTACCAGGATTGTACCATAATGTCATTATGGGTCAGGAACCATTTGGCCTCAGGCCAAATGAGACAACAGTGGCTCAGTATCTCCGCGGGTTAGGCTATTCTACAGTGATGATTGGAAAGGTGTGTTTTGCTATTTAGCAAAATAATAATATATATTGTGAGCCTCATAGAAGTCAGTAGTCTTATCAGTGCTAATGGAAATTTTTTTAATAATGATTTTTGTTGGGAAAATTGAAATATTTAATAAAATATTGTTATTATTCATTTATTTTAATTTCATACTTAGTTTTATATTTGAATTTACTATTTCTCAAATTCTATGAAATGCAGAATCTGCCAAATTATCATGAAATTATGAATTTTATAATAAAAGTATTTACATAGTGAGCGTTGATATAAAATAATAATTTTGTCTTGAGCTAGTTTTGGAGATAGGTATAATGGTAAAATATACAGTATTTTGGCTAATTTATAGAGGTCGTATGGAGAATTGTTTTCAAGTTTTAAGATTCCTTTGTTCATATTCTTTTCACATTCTGGAAAACACAGAAAAACTATTGGAACAAAATTGAGTTTTAAAACTTTTTTCAATTGTTTTAGTTCTGTCCAAGCAATATTTTGACATCCAAAGTATTTTCATGTACAAATTCTTAATTAATGCAGTTGGGTTTTAGATACGATTTAGATTTTTTTTTCTTAGACAATTACAATCATCAGTTTAGGTTTGAAGTTTGCGTACTAGAATACTACTATAATAGCCTATATACATTCATACTGTTTGTATGCCCTCCATTTTATTCATCTCGGACGTGAACTATTCATGATGTTCAGATTTCAGCTCTAAGTCTAGTTTGTAGTAAATTTATTGTGTTTTCAAAGTGCAGAAGTAGAAGAGGATTTTCCATTGTTCTCTGAACTTTCCTGTCAAAATAAAGAAAGTTATTTTGACAAATTAAGCTATTCATTCATTGTTATTCTTATGAATTAAAGTTTCCTGGAATTGTCTATAGGTCACCAAGATGCATATCAGTGAAATATTATATAAATTTGTTTTTATAATTATTTCAATAATCATTACACAAATGCTGTACTTCCTCAAGGATATATTGCAAAATGTATGAGTTTCGAATAGCAAAGAAACCTAAAGCAAAAGTGGGAATTACATGTTCAAGAGATAAAATTTAAATTTTTTTTTAGGTTTTATCATGTCATACCATATTCACATATTTACTTCCTTGGGTACAAAAACAACTATTCATTAAAATATATTACATATAGTGTTTTACATTTTTGAAGATAATCTCTTAAACTTTACAAAAAACGTCAGTAACAATTCATATTGTCAAGAGAAAAGAAATACTAAACTCTTGTTGCCATGATTACAGGCTTATTTCATAGTGTCATAACTGCTGCCCAGCCAGATGGGCTTAGGCCGAATGAGACCACTATCCCTGAACACTTAGCCCCACTTGGTTATGTTAGCCATATGGTTGGTAAGGTAGGTCATGTCTGCTATTTCTACTATACCTATAACAATTGCATATAAAATAAAAGAACTAAATTATTGTTTTCATTGATTAAAACTTTGTAATGTTGTATTGTTTTGATAAAGAATAGGATGATCATTTGAAGATAAAAAAAAAACAAATTAGAATTTAATATTTTTAAAACTAATTACTTTGCCAAATAATAGTGAATACATATGATACGGATTAGTATACCATATAATATTAATTCATCTGCTGTAGTAGGCAAATGAGAATTTGTAATGATAAATGATAATTTTAATAATGATAATAATCAGAATAATACAAAGTATAAAGTTCTATCTTTTAATTTCTAGCCAAGTTGGTGTGCTTTTAGTGAGTTTTGCATGCATCGTGAAAAAAATACTAAACACTATAATGTTAAATTTCTCATATTGATTCTCTTTGTACCACCTTATTAGTGGCATCTTGGCCATTTTGCCAAGGAGTACCTGCCTATAAACCGTGGATTTAATTCAAGTTTTGGATACTATCTTGGCAAAGAAGACTACTTTGACCACACCTCATCATTCAACTTCTCCAAGGTATAACCACGACTGCATTTTAGTCTTCATTGTATCTCCCGCATCCACCGTTATCAAGGAGTTTCTAACTTGCTCATGTTCTTGCAATCTTCTTCCTCATCTCAAAAATATAAATCTTGGATTAATGACATTCTTCATTTTCAATGGACTTCATAAGTCATTAAATTAACATGCATGTTCTTCATTTAATATTGAATCAAGTATTCATTGTGCTTTTTAATTCTGTCTGGAAATGTTAGTTTTTTCCTTGATAATCTGAATTCATTCAACCATCAATTATATCCTGGTTTGTTTTTTTTTTTGCTTTAGTTGCTGTTCTTTTTCTTTTCAAAATGTTTTTCTTACAAATGTATATACATTCAGACAGTGAATAGTTTTGTACCAAGTACCCACATTATAGCTGTTTCAATTTTTGTTTGTAAATTAACTAAATTGACAATTGCTATGCATAGAACCAATATCTCATTAAGTAACTATTGAATCAGTTTGTTACCAATTTTACTTGTTTTAAATTAACTTGCATGACATTTATCACTATGTTGTTTCTTCTTGATAATTGATGTTACACATTCAAATGCATGTTATTAGATACATTAAGTTTATAAATTCATTAATCTTCAATATCATCATCATGTACCGAGTCATGGGACATTGGCGACAATGACTTTCCACAATGCTGTCATATACAATATACTGCATTTAAAAAAAAAATTAATAAAAATTAATTTTTAAATAAATAACAAGTCATGTACCCAGGTTTCATAATACTGCATATTTGTAAGTATAATACTGAGACGACACTTTGTTATTCGCTATAAGATTGATACAATTTATATTTTATTATTATTTATTGAATACTAATATATTATTGACAAAATTCACAATAATTATTTAATATGTTATTTTTGGTCAATATGGTTTTATGAGGAGATATAAATAAATTTTTGGTAAGTAGGATATTGAGGTAAGATGTGTACTTGATGGTTCATGAAGGCATTTTATTAAAGATGCAGTCTTTAGTTCATGTTCAGTTTATTCCAAGTAACATGTTTTTGGAAGTGTTTGAACTCGGTAGAGATTATTATGATTTTTTTAAGGAGTTGTGTCTTGCAGTCTTTCAACTAAATATAAGTTTCTATCAGTCTGTCATTTGGGTATTTGCTTTAGTATTTATAAACATTTGTACTATTAGATAGAACAGCATACAGTAGCTGTAAATAGGGGTTTAAACATGTGGATTACACTGCATTTGGCTTTTATGTGGCGTCCAGGGTTCTAGTCCAAATGTCTTAGTTATTGAAATGGAATTGATAATTTATTTTACTGCAGTAGTGTTGTTGCTTGAAGAAAAAAATATAAATATTTGTTGGTAGTCTGTATTGTTAAATTTGTTTGCCGTTTGTTTTTGGAAAACTTGGCAGATTTGTGAGCAATTATGATCTTTTGTTTTTTCTAAATGAAAGCAATCATTCTGGATATAAGTATCTGAAAATGACTATTGACTTCTATGAGGACTCTATATTATAATTAGATTATCTAAATATTATGCATATGTACAGTACTTAAATGAGTTTTTGTCAATTTGATATGAATGACGTAGTTTTGTCAGTTATTGTCAATATAATTGACAGTCTTTGAAATCTATTTTATCCTGTTTAAAGATATATTAAATTTTTTTTTTAATGATTTAAAAACAAAATAGACCAGTGGATTAAAGTTGTGGTCTAATACAAATAATTTCAACTTTATTCTCTTATATAAATATAAATAGATTTAAATATAAAAGTATAAATATAATAAAAATCTAATAATCTAAAATATTTCTAATAAGACATGATAAAACCAAAGGAAAATACATATAATGATATTTATTTTTTTTCAAATATTATTAATGTCTTCTTGTTTATTGTACCCAGTGGCACCTAGGATTCTTTGCCAAAGAGTACACTCCCACTTATCGTGGGTTTGACTACCATTTGGGCTACTACACCGGTAAAGAAGATTACTTTGTTCACACATCAAATGAAAAAATAAAAGGGGAGTCTGTAAGTATACGAAATGTTTAGGTCAATTAGAGATGAACACTCAAAAGCTGTTGGGAAGGTAACAATTACAATGAAAAATCTAGTATCATTAAAGTTTTGTTAGGTGCTTGGTTCATAGAGATATTCCATGGTTTGCTAGGTTGTTTAATAAATTAGTTAATAAATAAGTATCAGACTATCAGTCTCCTTAACTTAATTTTACTGCAGGTTGTAGTGGAAAGTAGAAGGAACTACAATACAGTACTTTTGTATATGTGGCAAAGACAAGCCAAACCAGTCACTCATCGCAAATCATGTTTTGGAGATAATGGCCAAAACATGCTGGAATGTCGGAATTTTGGAAATCTATTTTATTGCACTCAACTAACCTTTATATATCTATACATCATGCTATGCTGTTATTTTCCTCATTTTCAATGTTAAAACAACAATTTTTAACGATTTGGTGATAGTTTCTGCCCAAGAAATGCCTGAAATCATAAAAATTTAAAGGCTGATTTCTGAAATATTGTTCTTTACATAGCTGTATGTTTAAGCTCCTGTAACTTCATAACTAAATATCGGGTTTAAATGGTTGTTTTAGCATTTTATAGCTCTAATTTTACTCTTTAACCCTGTATTAATAACTAAAAATTGATTTTTGTGACGAGTGACTGGTTTGGCTTGTCTTTGCCACATATAGTATTGTGAAACAATAACATTAAGAGGTTGCAGTAGCAGAGATTTGAAACAAGATGAATATTATTAAGTATAAGCTGGACTTTTATTATTCACTTTTCTGTGGGTATCCATTTATCAAATACATATATGAATAAATGAAGTTTTCTTGCACCCTAAATATGCCCAATCTGTACATGTCCTGGTTGATGTTGAGTCTGATGTTTCTTACCTTCAAAAAATTGGCATTGCTTTGTAGTGTATGTTTCTTCTCAAGTCCTATGCTATTAAGAATATTACTAATGATTCGTTTATATTTACTTGCAGCATGCATTCTGGGGTTATGACTTTCACAAGAATGGTGAAGTCTACAAACCTACATTTGGGCAGTACTCGACTGAGCTGTATGCTAAAGAAGCTATTAATATACTGGAGCAGCACAACAAGTCAAAGGTCAAAAAAAGTTTATACATTACAACACTTATATAGCACTATTTCATTGTGAATAAGTTGCAGCGCCCCTGCCTTCTGTTCAGCTATTTGATTACAAACAAGCACATATACTAGAAAAGCACTGAAAGAAATCTGAACTGAAGTAGAGAAGTATAGAAGAAGATGGATTTTTTAGTAATGGTAATGGTAGTGGCTGTATATTTATTAAGCACATATTACTAAAAACTAGCATATATGTAACATTTTCTTAATCTGTGGTTGTCTTTTCATTTTAGCCCCTGTTCTTGTACCTTCCATTTCAAGCTGTTCATAGTGCCAATGAAGATGACCCATTACAGGCACCACAGAAGTATATTGATAGATTCCCATACATTAAGAACAAACAGAGGAAAGTGTATGCAGGTAAACATCACTATGATAACTCTGTTTAGTTATTGTATCATAATGCAATTAATTAGGAAAAACAGGTAATGAATTTGGTTTGGACTGTGGCAAGGATTAATGGAAAAAGTGGGTGGATCGGGTTAGCTGAGGATTGGAGTAGTTGGAAGAGCTTGAGGAGACTGTCTGCAGTGTGGACTGGTGGTGGTGGTGGTGGTGGTGGTGGTGGTGACAATGAAGATGATTATAACCATGACAATGCTCTCAATGTACAATTTCATCTTCAACATATTAAAGATTTGGCAACTTTGGTGGTGATTGTTCTTTACACAGGGGTTCTATCCTCAAAAACCTTAAAGTATCCACAATCAATGGCTTACATTTTTCTTTACAAAAGATAGTGTACTATACTAACTGACACTTCAACCCTCCAGCTAAACCAGAACAAGAGATCAATGGAATTGAACCAAGGACCAACAGATCTCCAAAGTTCAGAGCATATAGGATTACTACCACTCAATTTAGCTGACTGGGTGTGCTGATTTCACTGATGAGGTTGAAGATAGTGATCTCTATGAAGTTACAAGAGATGGTTCTGTACTTACTTGTGTCTTGTGATTAGAGAATTTACAGTAGATTGCAATTTTTCTTTGTTTTTTAGCTATGGTCTCTGCACTGGATGATGCTATAGGAAACTTCACTGCAAGTCTAAAGGAGACTGGTTTATATGATAATTCAGTCATTTTATTTACAACTGACAATGGTGGTCCTGTTTGCGGATTTGATTACAACTGCGCCAGCAACTTCCCTCTGCGCGGTGTCAAGGCTACCCTCTGGGAGGGCGGTGTCCGGGGTGTTGGATTTGTGAACAGTCCGCTTTTGAAGAAACCAGGCAGAATTTCGGAAGACCTGGTTCATGTATGTGACTGGTTACCAACAATTTACCATTTAGCTGGGGGTGATGCTGGCAAACTGAAGAACCTTGATGGATATAACCTATGGCAGACTATCTCTAGGTTTGTTTTAAAACTGTTCACTTTCCTGCTTTTTTTCTCTGAATATTAAATCAGTGGCATTGATGCCACATGTAACATTAGGCCAAAAAGAAATGTTGTGTTTCCCAAGCAAACAGACAATTAGAAGTCAGGGTCAGTCTGTAAAGATTTTTTTTACTATAAATCAGCATATCAGGGGGTGCATGGGGGCACATTCCCCCCAAAAAATACTTGCACTGCCCCTGAGCTATGAATGAATGAACTACAAAGCCCATATATTTTTCAAGATTTATGGTCACTTGGGCTTGGCAACACAAACTTTATTTAACCTTATTTTAAGTTTGATATTAAATGCTTTTGAATAATTCGTTTCTTTGAAATAGTGGCGAGCCAAGTCCCAGGAAAGAGGTTCTTCACAATCTCGATACTGTTGGGAATTTTTCAGCCATAAGAATGGGAGACTATAAGCTTGTTGTTAATAGCAACTACAATGGAACATGGGATGGCTGGTATCCTACCAAAGACACAGATGAAGGTTTGTTATTTATTAAATATGATTTAATGTAGAAAATCTAACAATTGTCTAATATTATAATATGTTAAAGATACTAAAAGTAGTAAAATTCAGATTGACAAAATTCAGTTTTCAATGATTCGCACTTCTCTAACTCACCTGATTAAGCCCCATTGACTGGGGTGAAAGCTTGTGAAATAAAGTTCATTGTTAGTTCAAAAAGTGCTACCTAATCATTTTTTCCATTTTTATACACTGACTAATACTGCTACTATACTACATTTTTGACATTTCTCTAAATCATTCTAATTTTAAGGATGTCTGTGTAGGTTCATTTCAGTGAATAAAGAATATAGAAACAGTAGTATTTATTGAAAGAAAGGACAAAATTTTCAATTAAAAATTAATAAATTTGATGTAAATTTGCAATTCAAAATATTGAATTATATCACCTAAGCTTTAAATTTAATGCAGACTGTATTTCATCAGGTGCTTTGTGCATAATCTCTGATTTAATTGCTGTTTGTTTTTTGTTTGTTCCAGATTTTGTTATACCTGTAAATGCAAACCCGCAGGCATCTGTGGTTCATTGCCCACCAAAGCCACCAGATGTAGAAACAAATTGTCAACCGTTTAAAGCACCATGTTTATTCGATATAAGAAATGATGCTTGCGAATATATGAATATTGCTGGTCAACATCCAGGTAAGAGCATAAACTGAGGATCAGTAGCATATCTAGGGTGCACGCCTCTCTCCCCCCCCCCCAAAAAAACCCCAAAAACTTGCACCACCCAGACAGTTGCCTTATTGGAAGTTTTACTGAGTAGTTGTCTATTCTTTTCTATTGATCTACAAACCAAAATTTTAAAATTGTTTGTTTGTTTTTTTTTGTTTTTTTTGAAAAATACATTGATTTAATTATGAACAACTGATGAAACAAGAGCAATTACAAGTCATGTTAATTAATTAGTTCATTTGCAGTTGTAATGGCCAGGTGAATTTTATATCTCATCCCATGTCATGGGGATAATCCACTCATAAATCTTCAGTTTCTCAAATACTTATAACATCATATGAATATACTTTATAATATCGTAACTTAAAATGCAGAAATCATAGTTTTCAATAACTATATATTTTGTTTACTTGCAGACATAGTTTCAAAGCTGTTAGCCAGGCTAGCTGAGATTCTACCAACAGTTGTACCAGAAGCTAACAAGCCAGAAGATGTCAATGCAGACCCAAGGCTACACAGTGGTAACTGGGTACCTTGGATTAACCTAACACAATATAATTCAGTCTAGCTTTTTTTAAAGAATATTCAATACAAATAATTTGTCTTTCAATGTTTAACTTTCAATGAATTAATTTGAAATAATATATAATTATATTTTATAAATAAATTGTTCAATTTGTTGGCTGATCTGTTTTAGACATAGTTTATTAGTGATAGAATTCAAAAGCTATTTTTTACTTTGCCTATTTTTGTGCTAAACAGCAATTTCTACATTATAATTGTTTATAAGTCCTGACCAGACTATCAATTTTATTTGACAAAAAATGTGACATATCTAAATATTGGCATGATGACATCGTGTCATGGACATATATAGGCACATTATGTCTGTATATGGGCATACAGCTGTTTTTTTTTCAAAGAAAATTTGATCGTTTGGACAAACCTTTATATCTCCATTGCTCAATTGTTTTCCTGGTTTGTTTGCATGTCAGAATTGTTTATTTTTCTGTAGTGTAAAAAATTAAATAAATGGTAACAGATAAGACATTAATTTGTTAGAAAAAAAAAAGTCCTTTTGAATGAATCTTGCTTATGATATAGCATTTAATAGCTATAATATATCAAGAATAAATCATTTGTTCAAACTTTTGAAAACAGAATTTTATCAAAGATTTGTAAAACCTTGTGTGCATAAAATTGCTAAAATGCTATCACAACAAGTTTTTGCGAATCTGATTAGTCTGTTCTTGATTAGGCCGGGGACAATAACGCAGTGTTACAAATGTAGTGAAAACGTTGTAGCAACATTGTAGTAAATATACGGAAATCAGGCCTAAAATAATAAAAGATAATGTTGAATAGTTCCTTGAGCCTATATTATTCAATTATTCTAATTATTCTAACACTGTACTTAATTTGTAAATGATAAAAGAAAGCAATAAAATTACAGTACTTCATAAATTTTTATTAAAATATGGTGGTAACCTATAACTGTTGTTTTTGGAGTGGTTTGGATTTATTTGGTGTAAACACCAAGGATGGCCCACGAAAGTCTAGTAGAAGACTTATTTCCAGTGGGGTCCTTCTGGTGGTGATTGGACAGTACACCGGGAGACAATCCCCTACTCTTTTCCGAAGAGTGTACTGCGTTCTTTAACGTGCACATGGGCCGTAATGCACACGGGACCAACGGCTTAAACATCTCATCCGAAAGACGGTGCGCTATTGTAACTTGTATTTCAGCCCTCTAGCTGAAACATAAGGAGAGGCAGCGATGGGAATTGAACCGGAGACCTAGAGATCTCCACGGTTCGGCGCACACACAGTGGCTACCACCAGATTAGCCGACTGAGCTAAGCTGTAGTTTTAATTAGTGTATTATTATAATTGAATATTAATCAAATAAAACTGCTTTACAAACATGGAAAAGATATTTTAAACAATAGGTGACATTGTATCTTGTATTGACAGTTGCCTAGAAACGTTAGATTTTGCAACCATCGATGTTATGCATTTTGCCCAGGACCACTGTTAATAACAATGTAGTTTTCCTCTTGTACTTATATCCTGGTTAAATAAGTTTAAATAAACAAATAAAATTTCTATATTCAAAATGTGTTTTAGATGGTGGATTTTATGTACCGATGTTGCGTTGTTGAAAACGAAAGCATTTCTTGTCAAGTGATTTTAAGCAATATATTATACAATAAGTAACACATAGTATTCTACTTTTTCGGTGGTTATTATGTTCCCCTTTATCCCAGACGGGTGGCGCCTTCGGAAGAAGACCAGAGGACTGGTCGAAAATTTCTTTGATAATAAATAAGTGTTCTATAGTCCACATGACTCGTTGCTATAATTTCTTGTTTCAACGCCTATTATATAATTTCAAGAACACACGTGGATTTACGATGATATATTATTATTATATATATATATATATATATATACATATATATTATATATATATTATATGTATATATTTATTCATTTTTATTTATACATACATTTTGTAGATTATTATTGCTTTTACAGTACATTATAAAAATGCCAACATTTATTTTCAATGGTCTCCATTAATTCTGAAGCAGATTTGTTAATTTAAATAGCTTAAAACCATGGCTCCAATTTTGATGAAGTGAGAGCTGTTGGTTTTAGATCCGTAATGATATCCTAGAGGCCTCTGTGGTCTAAACGGTATGCCGATCGCCGAGATAGAGAGATTGCGGGTTCGATTCCAGAGACTCTTTTCATACAACTATATAAAGGAATTTATAAAGGTTATAAATCATGTTTCATACGATTTATAACAAATAAATACTGTAATAACAACAGTGCTCGAATAGGAACATGTTCTGGTTGATCGTATCAAGCATGGCTCATCAACGAAATGTTCATTTATTTCCCTAATAAATATATATAAAACATATTTCAACAAAAACACGTGATACTTTTATATTGCCCTGCTTAAAAAGTAAATGTCAGAAAACTAATTGAAAGCAGATTGGCCAACAGCACCCTATAATCGGATTCGACAATGACGTCATAAGGAACCCTTAGTGTAATAATAAGTCGTGAATTATTCATGTATTGTGCCATGGAAACAAGCAACAATGGGGGAGGGACCGTATGTAAACAGGGTTTCGACCCTCTCCGCAATGAATGGTCTTTTGTACACGCACATCTTAGTAAGGTTGTGGCCTTTGTAGACAGATATATACTAAACCGGAGACGGAGTATAGCAATTGTACATAAGAGTGTAGCATCGGAGAACCTAATAAGCCTATGTTTTAACTTGCATAAATATGGCATAGATGTTCATTAATCTTAGTAGAACAAGCGGTCCCATTGATAGATATTTGTTTTAGCGGATAATCACCTTAACGATACGTTAGTGAGCAGCCAAAGGTTAATACCATCGGGGATGATAAACCTTTTCAAAAGCTCCCAGCTCAACTCAACCGTCAAGTTTACATGATGGGAAGCAATCGTCTTGAAGCCGCCGAGAGATGGTTTAAGTCACCCTCTGCTGAAACGGACAAGGGCTTAATAAAATCATCGGTTTTTCCAAAAGAAAAGGTAAGTACTTGAGTACCATAAATAATAAACCCGTAAGTACAGTATGTGAGATAAGGCTCTAGTACGGTTGACCTCGGATCACCTACTAATACTATACTATTAATACCGGAACTGGCAATATTCAACTTCAAAATCAAGCTATGTCCGGTGTAACTTTCATGTATTCTCATATGCCTTACTGAGTTATTCTGGATGATTCAAGAAAAATCATCATCAAACTAAAATAATGTAAAATATGGAAATATTTAAATATTTACTCAATTTAGGCCCCTAGTTCATCATTTGGATTACATTTAAAAGGCTGAGAAAACTATATTTGTTGTCTCAGATTTAAACTCATTGACGTTTAAATTTTCAATAGCTCTTTTAGTCAACACAGTGCCTCTCTATTTGTCTTCTTATAGGCCTATTTAAAATATCGAATTTTCGTTGATTCATTTTTAAGATATAGTCTTGGTGAAACAATATTGTAATTGTTATAAGCAAAGGTATAATTTTTAATTCAAAATGCCCGGTAAGCATCAATGCATCGTTAGTTGCGGCCTATATTGTTATATACGGTACTGTGCGTGTATCCGTTTTAATTATCTATAATATATTCAACTAAGGGAGCAATAAATACGCATATGAAATTTGTGTAAACGAGAACATTCTGAGAAATTCATCTTTTTGAAAATACACAACACGACACATCCCACGATGCTCTTTTAATCAATCAATGTAAGGCATTCCATTATCACCTTCGTTATGTCGACCTATTTCGATTACCAAAACAAAGAAACATGGTAAGAATTATTATACGGAGTTTTTTTTTTCAATTGAAACGTAATACAACAGGTTTAGGCAACTAAACATGTTTACGTTTGTATTTTCGGAATATGTTGATAATTTTTACCTCTTGACAATTCATACCTATTCTGTTGGTTACAGTAAAATGCAATTTATATTTTAATAGGCCTATAAAATATAATACGTTGTATTGATTAATACACTAATGTGTTGAAATCGACCATCTTCACATATTGGGTTTTATGGATACTTCATGGTTTTTGTCATGTAGTTTGCAACTAAGATTGAGCAAATTTCGGCTTACTCCAGATTTTCAGGCAGTTGGAAAATCATACTCAAGATTGCGAACTCATAGGCTAGAATACGCCACATCAAAAGTAAACACTCTGTGCTCTTACTGAGAAATTCAATTTGGTTATCATGTGCCCTAGATATTGATTTGAGCGGTTACCATTAGTATTACTTTATAGTCCTGACAAGAACTGTTAATGTTGGTTATAAATCTAGGTTAGTTTGCTTTATCGCCATTTGTACAATGAAGTGAACCATTATATAGATTATCTAAATTTACGGATGTTGTATGCATGCTTGAAGTGGTTGTTAAACGTTTCTAGTATATTCAAAAGGTCGCTTAAATTGTCCTGATGGAGACAGTTAAGATAATCGTTCATAAGAATTTTTGAATTGAATTGAAACATCAAAACAAGGACTTATTATTATTATTATTATTCAATAATGTATTATTTCATTATTTTAATAAGACTTATTATTATTCAATAATGTATTATTTCATTATTTTAATAATAGTCTTAATCCTCATTATCATCTTTCCAAAATCTAATAAATACTTGATGATTAATACCAATTCTGATCACAGTACAGTAGTGGTATCTGACGATCGAAAATAAAACGAAACAAAAATAGGCCTAATGGACCCATAGGGATTTGAACCTTTTTCGGTTCACTCGCTGTTTAGCGTCGGTTGGCAAACTATCATCACATGTTACACTGGAAATCTCAATTTCAAGGGTATGGGGCCTGTTTCCGTTATTCAAATTAATTAATAAAAAAACAATTTCCAGTCGGTAAATTGTTTGTAAGTCATGTCGCTCCACTAAAGATACTTTGTTGGTTGTCAGTGACTGCTGAATGCCAGGACATTTTGTGACGAAGTCGAGGTAACACTGAAACTTCAAAAATCATTTAGGGCCTAATTGCTCATTTATAAACACAAGAGATAGATACGTTGTCTTCACAAGGTGTAATACAGAATTGAGTAAAAACATTAAGTGATATTTTGAGATCACAGAGTGTACTTCTAAAGTGAAAATAAATCTATTATTTATTTATAATGACGATTAATGACTTGTTAATTAATGATTTCTCATTAAAATAGATTCTTCACTTCACAAAGTATTCGAAATTCTTTCGATTAAAACGCAACTTTCTTTACAATGATATACTGTGTTAATAATTTAATGCGTTTAATTCGACAATCTTTACTTCCCAAAAAAAGTATTATAATAGGCCTATTGGCATTTTCTAAATACTGTACAACGGATAGTATTAACAATGCGGTTTAGGCCGTATAAATAAATTACTTATTTGATTATGTGAGATTGTACAAAACGTGTGTCGAACACTTTCATGAAGTAACTTTACATCTAACTACAGTGTCAAAAGTTAGCATTTTATATTTTAAAATATTATATTATAATATATATATATAATTATATTATGTATATGCGTTTATATAAATATATATACATAAAGCGGATGATAGCAATGCTGTTTACGTAATGTGTCAAAAGTTAGCATTTTATATTTTAAAATATTATATTATAATATATATATAATTTTATTATATATATGCGTATATATAAATATATATACATAAAGCGGATGATAGGAATGCTGTTTACGTAATGTAAGTTATATATTACTTATTTGATGATGATAACAAATGTCGAATACTTTTAAGACGTTGACTAACGTTCAACTACAGTGTCAAAAGTTAGCATTTTATTTTAAAAGAATATTAGAATATTTACATATTCCACATAAAGCGGATGATATATATAATAGTAATGCTGTTTACGCAATGCAAGTTATATATTATTTATTTGATTATATAACATACCGTACGCATGTCGAATACCTTTAACGTGGACTATACGTCCAAATATAGTGTTAAATGTTAGCATTTTATTTTAAAAAGTATTAGACTATTTACATTTTTCACATAAAATTGAGGATATGTAATAGCAATGCGGCTTAGGCCTACGCAACGTAAGTTATATATTACTTGATATAAACATACTCATATCGGATACTTTTTAACGTTGACTATACGTCCAACTACAGTGTCTTAAAACTAGCATTTTGTTTTTCAAAATATTAAATATATATATATACTATTATATAATATAAGCATGTTGAATACTTCTATGACCCTGATTACACGTCCAAATGTAGTTTCAAATGTTGGCATTTTATTTTAAAAATATTAAATTATTTACATTTTCCACATAAAGCGCATGATGTGTACTATCAATGCTGCTTACACAGTGTAAGTTATATATACTTATTTTATTATTTGAGATTGTATAATAAAACTAGGTCCATAAGTATGTCGAATACTTTCATGACGTCGAATAGTAAATTATAAAATGTCCAATGAGTGTCAAAGCTAAACAGTTAAATAACTTATTTATTGCCAAATTCCGGTAGGCCTATATCCGCTACGTTGAAAGAAGTCGTTATGCACAAAAACAACAAGTTTTATTGAGCAGAAATTCTTCCTATCAGAATGTTCTAATTTGGCGAGTGATTAATTTCGATATGTTCGGAAAACTGTGTATTTTAGTCATTTCAGCCACAAAATCAAGAGTCAGATTTAACACCATACAATATATATATATAAAAAATAAGCATTGATGCCGTCGCTCCTTAACAAAGTTGGCTATGAATGGTTTGACAAATCACATAAATGTCATTCTGAATGTTAATCAAAACATAGATAAAAGTGCATTACACCCTTAGGGGATACGTTACATCTGATTGCAATTCATACATGAATGTTACTCAGTCTTAGCATGTAATTCTATCGTTTGCTTGATTTTCCCCATTATAAATTCGCTTGGAAATTTAGGTTGAGGCCTATAGCTGATCTAATTATTTTAGAGCCGAACAGGCGGGATTTTATAGGCCTATTCTGAACAAAGTATCTGAGTATTCCCAACGCGAACATTTTCAAAAAGTGTTGCGAGTTTAAAATTTGCAATAATGGGCGGTGTCACAGAGATTACCCCACCCCCAGTGAATTCTCCACTTATATTTGTACACCCATATTCATTACAATCTAATCTATTTGTCTAGGCCTATGCAAATTAAATATTACTTGTTTTTAAAAAATCTCCTATTTGAGTTTTTTGGAGGTTTTAATCCAATGTTACTAGCTTATTTGATTATAATCCTACATTTAAAATGATGCATAAATAAAATTTAAACAAAGAGAGATAAAAAAAAAATACAGAAACGGTATAATCGTCCTATTCATGCGTCTGTTAAATAAAGTTAATATAAAGTAAGCCTATCTTGAATGTTATTGTTAACGGTTAGGTTTGTTAGTAAAAAAATCAGGTCTATTTTTATTTTATTCTGCAATTCTTCATCGCTGTACTTTGTCAGTTGGATGAGAATCATTTGAAATAGATAAAAGAGTCCTTAACAACGCCAATGAGTCAAGTTGTCATACACATGTTTTACGAGCTCTCACAAAAACACGACCGCAAATCTGCTGTCGCAACACTTTTATCCTCGAATGTATTCACTATTTTGTGTTCATCAAAATAAAAGAGCCCGAAAAAAACAATAAAGTTCTGTTCTGAGCCTGGTAAAATTATCGATCGGCTCATCATTTGTTTGATGTGATTGCTAACTCCCTGCTTATCCCAAAAGACCAAACCTTGTCTCGCTACTCATCTTATCCTCCTCTTGTTTACTTTAAATCGTTTGGGAGTAGTTGATTGTTAGTAAGAGTTCATGAAAATAAGTAATGAATACATAGGATAGGATAATGTGTGTATATATCACGCGGTACTGAAGTTAGCTTTAGTGTGTCGGTATCATCTTAATACAGTTCGCTCTCCAATTCGAGACCATCTTTGGGACGTGAAATTTTTTTGGGGGGTGGGGGGTCCTCTGGGTTGGTCTCCAGTTAGAGGGCTAGCTTTGTGTTAAAAAGTTGAAGATCGTTATTTGAGTCGTTGTTTAATACTTGTGCATATTGCAATTACTCTCTCTTATACACCTCTAGATGTGTATAAGAGACAGTATATATAGTGACCAGTAGCGATGTATATATATATATACATTGAAGAAGAAAATATTTGACTATAACTATTAACTTGAAATTAACTCTTTCAACAACTGACACGGAGATTCGAAAAGATAATTCTATTCAAACCATTTTTCTATGTTAGGGGTACTGCTCCTTTCCTCCGTGGGGGTAATATTTGCTTTGTGCTATTGAGCCTTTTATAATCCAGAAACACTCTGCAATTAACTCTTTCTACAACCGACATGGAGATTCGGGTATTTATAACCTCGTCAATCTACCATTTATATATTTCCTATTCCTATAAAAATGTGTTAAACTTAATAAACCATCTAGGCTATTTCTACCAAATGGTACATTTTAACGGATGTGATACTAATATGATGAAACAACTAGTGGACTGTATGTGTGTGTGTGTTTTTTTTATATAACTACAGCTATAACTTTTGTTTTGTTTATAACTACTACAAAAAAATAGTTCTATTCAAACCATGTTTCTCTGTTAAGGTGCTTCTTTCCTCAATGGGGGTAATATTTGCTTTGTGCTATTGAGCCTTTATAATCCAGAAACACTCTGCAGGAGTTATATTTCTCATAAGATTAGATAACTTTATTATTCCACTAAGTGAATCTCTTTGCTCGCCATAAGGCCCCATAAAAAAAATTATTAGTTTATCACCCTATCAAAGAATAAAAACTGATGAGGGAGGGAGGTTTTTTGGTTGTTTTTTTTTTTGCTAATCCCGCCCCCATTTTACCGATGATCACAAGTAAATCAATGGTTAGAGACACATATATAAAAAGTCATAAGAATGGAATCAAATTTATATTTAAAAAATATGTTTTTGTTGTGCCAGTAAGCATTTTTGCAATAAAACCATGCTTTTCAAGTGAAAAAAGATGGAAAAGGACCGTTTGAAATGAAAATATATTTTGATTGAAAAAAAAAAATCAGATTTTTCCCAAAAGTGATGAGGGAGCGGGTGATAAACTAATAATTTTTTTATGGGGCCTAATACAGATGATTAAATACGGTATACATAAAAATATACATGATTACAGTCATGATCATAAGATATAGCAAAGGCACTAACTAAAATAAAATTATTATTATCATTATCAATATAATTATTATTATATTTTATTATTATTATTATTATTAATATATTATTAGTATTATTATCATGCAATTAGAAATAATTTTAGTTTATTCATTCGTTATTTACTTTAGCTTTTCAACAAAATCACAGTAGCATATAATAATAACAATATTCATTAAAAAAACTAATTAACGAATAATGTCATCTTCAATCTATTATGTAATTCGACAGGGAATCACTTTTTCATTCTGTCGATATACAGTACGCATGGCCACATGTATCAACACATGACCACATCAGTGCGCCTTACATATACCTTGTATATTCTTTTCACACTGTCATCATTCTTTTGCATAGAATGTAATGTATGCAATATGGTCACGACTTGTAAAACAGCGAGATATTGAGCTCATGGGCCTAAAGCCTGGTTTTCACTAGGTGAATTCTCATGTGCATTCACATTTCTATCGGAATTTTCGCTTCAGCGAAATCAGTAGTTCGAACTGTTTCTACTTTTTGCGAAGCGAAAAAATGCGCAACCAATCAGAGCTCAGGAAGCGAACCCTCGGTTTCGATTCGCGCGAATAAATTCGTCTCGTGGAAACAGGCTTTAAGCTTGGTTTCCATACAATCGCTACAGCCTATCGATTGAACTAAACACTTTTAGCGACAGTGTAGCGATTTAAAAGAAAGCAGGCTTCAAATTTGAGATAACAGTTTTGAATTTCAGCTCTTGTTTTACTTAGGAAGGTTTTATTTTTAATACTTGTGCACATTGTAATTAATTTAAATGACCTTTAAAAATGTTCAGATTTGATTTGGATTTTTTTAATATACAGTAGGCCTATATGTACTAATCGAAGTGAAGGTTAAATTTTTGTACTGTACGTGGGGTAAAGACATTTTCAGTGTCGTAAATGTTATTTCTTGATATATGTAGGTCTATATATTGCAAAGTCAGTAAATTGTATTTAAAAACAAGCAGGGTAAATAAATTATCTTGTGTTTTATAAGCAGACTCAACCTATGATCATAAAAGTTATACAAACCTTACGTTTTCACAAATTTAATTCATGAGTGTAATTTTCTTATATATACTCCGAGAGTACAAACTACATCATCAATTAATGTCCCAGTATGTATCACATTCCAGAGATCGTAATGTCCATCATTAGTTTTTTTTTAGATGGTCATACCGTTGACTAGATTTATTACTGAAACAAATCAAAATCAGTATTAGATTTATTATTCGAAGTAGATTGCTTAAACGATTGGTAGTTTTTTTTCTAAAACAACAAAATAACTTGATTAATACCTTAGACTGTGTCAAAGTTATTTTTAAATTAACTGGAAACTCGATCTCATAAATTATACAGGATTATTTAAAAATACATGGTTTAAATTTATTATGACCAATGACATTGGGTGTCAATGAGAGTATATAATCACCTTAATCTTTATATATGTATAATATTACTAACCTTGATATTGAAACAGCGTATTCGAATTGTATTACACAAAACACTGTAGGCCTATACTCATAAAATATAAATTCATTTATTTCAGTTATTTATTAAGGCTTGACACAATGTCATGAGCAAGATGTGATCTCATGGGAACAAGAAGTCGAAGCCATTCTTCGGGTTTCAAATATGGCTGCCTAGCAACCACACCTATGTTTATCCAAGTCCTATAAAACGCGGGCAGGGCAATCTCAAGTATATTTTTTGGTTTGCTCTATTTCCTTGATGCAATTAAAACCATCCAAGAAGCATGGAAGTTAGGCTACGCTGTTGAAATCTTTATTTCCAATTGTTTATTTATTACTGGTACGGTACCGTTCTTGTTTTCTTCGACCTCGCTGATTGTATAGACAGTATTGATTTACATTGAAACAAATTGATTGGCGGTCTTAATAATCCAAAGGATCTGTTGTTCACCATACGATTGAGACTCATAAAGTATTAATACTGTGTACCTAGTAAAACCAAAAACGCTTTATAATAAAACCCCGTTCATTTACTACGTAAACCTAATCCGATTTTGAGGGCCGTGAATCCTCCTCTAGATGTTTGCACATGTTACTATTCATACACAATGGAAACTGCATTCGTTAATTGTATCATCAGAAAAGCACTACAGTATAGAGAATGATTTTTTAAATATTCACATTGATGTCTTCTGCCTTATCACCTTAGTTAAAACACTGAGATTATTTATCAACCCAAAAGGGTTTCAACAATATGAGAAATGAGTGCTTACTTATTATGTATCAGATTTCGAGGGTTGTGATTCCTCCTCTATGTGTTTGCACATGTTCCTATTCATACACAATGGAAACTGCATTCGTTAATCGTATCATCAGAAAAAAAATAAAGAGAATTATTTTTATTATCCACATTGATGCCTTCTAGCTTATCACCTCAGTTAAAACACTGAGTTTATTTATCAACCCAAAAGGGTTTCAACAACATGAGAACGAGTGTTTACTTATTATGTACTTGGTATTTACTGATTATCTTTTAATTGCTGTACGTGATACATGGACATTTAAATAAAACTTAATAAGACCAACGAGAAAGTTTTCTTCAAAAGTTTGTGTGGGAATACGCGTATGCCCCATGTTCGTGATATGCAGTAGTTAGGCATATGCATAGGTATTTTATCACATTATCGTTCGATTTTCCACTCCTGCAGCTCTACTTGGGTTCACAAAAAAATTATTAGAATAATACCTGAATGCTTGATACGCCATGGAACGGACAAAAGGTGTGTCAAGAATTAAGAAAGCAAACGTTGATTGATGAGATTCTGAGCTAAGTCTAACTGAGGACAACACGTGATTTATACAACTTTACGTTATAAGAAAACCGGACTTATGGTTTGCTTATGACTTTAGGCTGTTATTTCAACAAACATAGCATATCAATCACTGTCAGAAACAGTAACTCTGACCGCACATTGTACAGTAAATTCAAAGTTTTATAGAACTTGGTCTGTAATAGGTTCCTTGCTCAAATTATTAATAGGTTTAGCATTTGAGAACGTAAAATATGGACCTGACTTTATACAACCATAGCTAAACCTGTTGCAACATAATAAAACTGTATTTAAATCCATGTACAATTAATAGATAATTACGAGTTTATTTAAATAAAATTTAATTTAAATCTGGATATACATATTTCAATTCTTTTTTAAAAAATCATTCAATTAAGAGTAATTTTAATTGCTGTCAGATCATTCAATTTACCATGAAGATTTCTTCGATGAACTTAAGGCTGTCTTCTTTTTCCAGCATCATCGACGATCAGTGACTACTCTGCCACCAATGACGGACGATCTGAACACCAAAACAGCCAGGGGAAAAATCATTTCACAGTCTATCGTACCGGGTATTGATGTATGTACAGTATTATTATTGTTAAGTCTTTGGAGTTAATGATAATTTGCTTAAGCCTTTCCTGAACGATTGTTGTTAAAATCAAAATATATTATAAACTACACCATGCCAGGGTTCGTTCACCCTAATTTTGACATAAGTTATTTTGATCCTAAACTTTCCTTGTACATCTTCAGGATTAAAAATGAACGAATAATGCTGGACAAAATAGAATATCGAATTTAGGTCATCAGTTTCAACATTTACAGAGCAGAATGAAAAGTACAGGAGCTGACTCGTACATTGTCATTGCTGTATGCATGTCCTATTAAGTTTGGGAATGGGAACAAAAAATGTGTATTTTTAATGTGTCTACGAGTATTTGCATGGGCATGCCGAGATGAATCAGCATAGGAAGATAGGTCTACCCTTCAAATTCCCTTTTAATTTACTGTAGATACCTCTTGACTATATTAAATATTTGCTTTCTTCAATTAGGGTGGCGATAACCACTTGAAAGGTAAACGAAGGATAAGCCAGGAGTCGAACCATATGATTGTTACCCATTTACGTGTAAGTAGGCTGGTAAATAAAAAGATAAGAAACTATTAACAATTATATTGCGACAACCAACTATATTACTGTATTTGTACATATGACCTATCTCAACATAACATACGGTAATCAATACAAATAATAATGTTACGATATTCACATGCCATATAGATAGCTGTTTGATTGGAGATGGTAACATTCATTATTTAAAATCGTCTCGTTTACTTTAGCGGAAGCTTCGCCAACGTATGAACCAATGGTATGACGATACAATTTCATTAAGTGATGACGAAACATCTTCAATTCAACAAAGTCAAATTCAATCTCCCGTTAAGGTATTTTTTTAAAACTTTTAAATGAAAAAAAAGTGCCATCTATTTGTATTTCATTCAATATTATGACACAAATATGAACATGTTAAATGCTTATGTTTGAGCTTGGTAATATTCATTAATTTAATTATACCTATTGTTTTCATTGGTTAGTTTAATTCATACGTTTTCTAGTTGATGTTTTTATTATTTATAGACTCTGTTTCAAACCACACCAAATCGCTCGTTACCGTACTTAACTTGATTCTTTCAGAGTTCATCAAGGCAAGATATTTTCCACAAATATAATGACATTGGTGGTAGATTAAGCAAAGAAGGTCACGCTAAAGACGGCCTTTATCCAGTACCACAACGTTTACCATCCGAAAATGTGAGCCTTGAGCTCATCGGAAAGTTTGGAAAACATCCTGACACCAAAATGGCAGAAAAGCTCCGCCGAGTGTCGGATGCTGGTCTACGGTCTTCAGTCTTGATAAATGGCAACAGAGAATTAGTTACAATAAATGCTGGACTCGATAAAAGACTCTCAATGTTGAAAAACGCTAATTTTTCAATTGATGTTGAAAAGAGAGATGTAAAGGATTCTGTAAAGCTTGAACCTCTTCATGCATCTACATTTGATGTAAACTTTGTTTCAAAGACGCCCTCTGATGGCACACAATCTACTGCGAGCACAAGAAGTGGCTCATCAAGGAAGAGATCATCTGGAACCGATAGGAGTTTGTCCCCCGTTGATTTTAAAAACTATGAAAACAATGTCAGCTTTCCAGGAACACCCATCAAATTACCAGCGATATCAAGTAATGTTCCACCCACCAACAGTGAAGTACTTTTAACTGCTACTATGGACAATGATACAGGTCGTTTAGATGATGATGTATTAGAGGAAGACACCTCATGTATAAGCCCAGTGCCTGAGCAATATCCTTATATCTTAGTAACTGAGGAGGCTAATACAGTTGAATGTTTTGATTGGGAGGACGCATTTCATCGAATACTAAAAGGAAATGTTAATATACGTTGTCCGGTTGAAACGAAGATTATCCAAATTTACCTCTCATCCACATTTCCAGGTAAGATTAAGTCTATGGTTGTCAATAATGCAGCAGTGGCTCCAGACGGGGGTCTGAACAAAAAGGGCCTACTAGATTCTCGGTCTGAGTCCCGGAATAAAACATCCCTGGTAGGGTAATCACGGGGAAAGTTTTTATGGCTTAATTTGGGATTGGCAATAAAAATAGCGTCATTTAGATATGTAAATTATATATATTTTTTAATTTTTGATCCGACGACCTCGTCGTGGCGTGTCTAAACATGTCAAACAGGGGTGGGGGTGTAGGGAGGCAAATGCACTCCTTCCCCCTCTCCATTGGCCACCACTGCAATAATGTACCGGTACTAAACGAACTAGATATTACAGCCTGTAAAATGCTACTCGAAGATATCACAGCCCGTCAATCATTTAAGAATGCATAATTGAAAATACTTCGATCGTCTGACGTGTTTCCTCATTATAAATATAAGCCTGTGTAGTGTATGTACATGACGTGTTTACCACCTATCAAACCAATACATTCAAGTTAGCAAATATTTTAAGAATACATATTTTACACCCGATATATCAAGTGTATGGAAAGAACAACTGTATTGTTTGGAAAGTAGATAGAATATTATCACAACAGGTTCTTATCAAATAGCCACTGGAGACTAAATAACCAATATCAAATTGCATCTGTCCCAGAGATTTACCAGCTACCATGCACTTGGTAGTGACACTGAATAAAAAGGGTTTAAGGCATACGATAGTTATCGGGTATTTATATACTTCATTTAATTCCACAAAGGCGCATAACTGTAAGGCAACGGGAGGAGTAAACATTAATTATAAGCCATATGAAATTGATATGTGTGCATACACGTTCATCGTGATTAGGCCTATTATATACCTGTATTGTTTGTGATTTTTTTTTTGTAGATTTCATTGCCGAGAGAACGTCAATTATTGGTAAAGCAGTTCCGAGACTGAAGCAGTATTGTCGTGACAGGGGGTTTGAATTCCAACTCCGCGATCACAACTGGGGCTTAAAAGACACTAACACTGACGATCACTCTCATACCAAACTCTGCTTAAAGGAGCTGAAGTCTTGTCAGAGACTATCAAAAGGCCCTAATTATGTAGTATGTTTTGTTTTTTTTTATTCGTAGAAAAGTTATAATTATATATTTTTTACATTTCTACAGTATCTTTAGATATTTTGAATCTGTTTCATCAGAGATCGATATTTATATTACGGTGATGATAGAACAAAATATACATCATCCAACAATAAACATAAGGAAACATTAAAGAAGTCTTGTCAGAGACTATCAAAAGGCCCTAATTATGTAGTATGTTTTGTTTTTTTTTATTCGTAGAAAAGTTATAATTATATATTTTTTACATTTCTACAGTACCTTTAGATATTTTGAATCTGTTTCATCAGAGATCGATATTTATATTACGGTGATGATAGAACAAAATATACATCATCCAACAATAAACATAAGGAAACATTAAAGAAGTCTTGTCAGAGACTATCAAAAGGCCCTAATTATGTAGTATGTTTTGTTTTTTTTTATTCGTAGAAAAGTTATAATTATATATTTTTTACATTTCTACAGTACCTTTAGATATTTTGAATCTGTTTCATCAGAGATCGATATTTATATTACAGTGATGATAGAACAAAATATACATCATCCAACAATAAACATAAGGAAACATTAAAGACTTTTGGTATATAACTAGCTAGGATACTCTTTAGCAGTGCCAATGAATGATCATTAAAATGATTTACAAAAGAGGCTTGCGATCCCAAAACCAGCATTAGTGACCAAAAAATGAAAATTTACTTATCATTTTATCCTTATTCTTCACATTATAAGCTATATATATATATATATATATATATATATATATATAGGTGATTTACTGGAATCGACTTACTTTTGCCAAATTTATGAATAAAAGTATTATGGCTCCTCTGAATTAAGTTATACAATACTGCCACATTTTAATGTTTAATTACTCAGTCCAACGATTAGCGATAGTATGCTTGTTTTGGAATGACAAGCCTCAAATATTAAAAACAGTGTATTTCTATTGCAGTTATTACTGGGACAGAAGTACGGTCAATGCCCATTACCATCCGTTATCACAGCCTGGGAATACCGAGCAATAATTGCTGGCCTTCAACAAGAAAAGGAGTTCTATGTTAACCTATATAGACCAATATCTAAAACTACCACAGGAAATGGGTAAGAACATTCAAAATATTTGGTTTATTTTTTTTAATTAATTAACGTTTTTTCTACTAAATCATACACAATATGAATTGAATAGGCCTAGGTAAAGATACCACTATCGAACTTGAAATAATAGTAGTGATATTACAATAGTGATAATGACAATAATAATGATGATGATAGTGATGTTAATAATAATGCTGATGATGATAACGATGATGATCGAGCGACAACACACAATAAATAATGTAGTTGTCGAACCCCAGAGACTGCACAACCTCTATATTTTCGTTAATACAATGTTTCAAATAAATTTCCACCATTTTTCAGGGGTGACTCCCTAGAAGTTCCATCTCAGAATTCCAACGATGGTAAAGGATTCGTTGATTCGGTAGTAGCTGCGTTTGCACATAAAGTCAGTATATCCAAGCAAGATGAAAGCCAAGGAGCCAGATCGAGATCAGGATCTTTCAATGCAACTCCTTCAAGAAAAACGTCACAAACAAAACAACCTCAAATTAAGTAAGTCAATTTTAATCTTAAACCCATGGACAGACATTTATATCTACAGTAATTACTTATAATTTATAAATCAGGTGTCTGATATTAAATTTACCGTACTTAAATAGGGTCTAAGTACATATACATTGTTGGACTATTTGGACTTCAGCAACGATGCGAATCTTAGCATGTGCAGAATTTAGTAGGTAGCGTCTGGCGTTTTGACTCAGACAGACTGAACCTTCTTCAGAGAAATGGAATGGTAGACTAGGTCGAAACGTCAGGCATACAATTATCGATTAAGAAAGGTGTTCATAGTTTGCGTCTGTTAAGCAAAATTTACTTGGACATTTTAATGCTATCATCAGACGATCGTCTGTAAAGAAGAGTACCAAATTCCACGTTGCCGCCAAGAGAGTAGTGACGACACTGCGGTCCTTCAGCATTGGACCAGCAATTCAAACCAAGCGGTAATTTCTCTTGGAATTGCAGTGACTATAATAAAGAAAATCAATTAAACTAAACCAATGCACATCTTTGTCAACAAGTCTTGAAATTAACTGTTTGAAAAGAAGTTATGTTCTTAATATTCAATCTGGTTTTTTTTTCAGTACTGATTGGATTTAATCATTTTATAGTGGTATAACATTTACAGCATAGGCTAACTTAAAAAAGCTATTTGAATAAATAACGTGATATAGGCCTATACATATTGGTTTTATTTGATTATATATTATGGAACACTGTTATACTGTATTCTCTTTAGCATTCCAATTTTACACTGCTTTTATTTTCCAGCACGAGTAAACTAAGCAATAATATCTTGTCGAAATTATACCACATGAAAATATTGCCGTGAAAATTTATAAAATAACAATAAATTGGTATTTATAAATACTCTATAAATAGAGTAAATAAACTCGAATAATGTGTTCACTCAAATATGATAAATGATAGAAATTACCGTTATTGTAATAGTTTGCTTAATATACTTCATTGTTCTTAATTAAATTAAACGTATCGTATCATATTCACTAATATCTTGCTTTAATTTTAACGCTGCCTTAGGAAAGGAACAGTAATAGTGTAAGTAGATGATACACGCACATTCTGGCTGATACGTGTGCCCTTATCCAATTATTATTGTATGTGTTAATTAAATTGTTTCATGCCTTTTTGATTTATAAATACAGGCGATCAAACAACTTCTAATCTCAGAATCTGAGTTTATTTCACATATGACCTGTGGCCTATCTTATAATAAAATAATCGTATGTACTTTTAGATAACTATTTATTATAACGGACCGTATGTATAAGTTTTGTGTTTGTGGACATGCAAATCTTCCTGGTCGTATTCTGATTGGTCGGTTGTTAGGTTTAACTGACAGTCCTGGAAGGTCTCACAAATACGGTCGTTCACGTACTTTTGCGTGTTCGCTTCGTGGGACCGTAGAAACCATATCCAAGGGGCGGGGACTAAAGGAATGGCATATTGTAACTTTGCAAATGATTTTCATGTTACAGGTATCCATTTTCTAATAAATTATTAAGTTGATATTATTATTTTGGTAGTGAAGACCTTGAGAATGATGTAAAAGATGAAATAGTCGATGATTCAAAGGAAAAAGCAGCCGAAAGAAAGTATGATGCTGATATTAACCTCGTAAATTCTTGGTATAAGCTGGATGAAAATTCTCTACCTCATGTATACAGGCTTCAGTGTATAAGGTAATAAATACAGGTTTAAAATATCTATATATATAATTCTAATATTATTAAAAGAATAAAAGATTGCAAGTAATAACTTCCACAAAACAACCATTATGCTAAAAAATTAAAATATTTTAATGGCCTTGAATGAAAGCTAATTATATAAAATTATTCCAATAATGTTTTACTTACTTATCGCTCATGGGTAGTGAAGATTATCTCCACCCAAACACGTATCTCTCTCTTTCTCTCGGCAGTGCGTATCTATGTGGTATAGGGTCGTCCTCTATTTCGTTCGCTTTCCAGAGTCCAATTCATTGCTATTCTTACATTATCATCCTTTTCTTTTTATAAAGATATATCCAATCCATCTCCATCTTCTTTTTAAAACCTCCTTACTAATCTCGATTGTATCTTATGTTTTATGACGTCATTATATTCAAACTCAGCTCGCAATTCAAAGACTTTTGCAGTCCCGATAAACAGAAGAAGCAGAGAGCTTTGAATCAATGGCGAAGTATTCAGAAAAAACTACAAGACGTCATAGGCAAATTTGTTAAAAGCGTACTTACCGATCAGGATCGGATTCGTGAATTTAACACATCGGGTAAGTTTAGTACAGAATGATCTGGTGTTCTATTAAAAATAATTAACAGTACCTTTAGTAGAGAGAGTTTGGAACAATAATTCTTTATCTGTCAAGCATACATGACGTAGTGATTGTCAATTATTTAAGTTTTTGTCGATCAACTCTATTATATACAACGTTGAACTGTATATTATTGTTTAAATCTTAGTTGTAGAGCGTGAGGCTCAACAAGCTGTCCTTAACCCTGATATTGACACGACTACCAAAGTGCAATGTTTTCAAAGAAGATTCGAGAATCTGAAACAAAACTTACAAGATTTTGCCGCAAAGGAATACACAGATCTATTGCCGATGAAAGCTGAATCTGATCCGGTGCTTACTCAAAAAGCGGAAGAATTAATAGATAACAAAATCCTACAGAAGGTAAGAGGAACACAAAAGAAATACATAAAAATATGATAAATGATAATAACAATAATAAGGATAATAATAAAATAAATGTCATTATTATAGTCTATAATTATTATATAGGACCAAATAAATATGTGGTAGGCCTATTTCGATATTTTTTTTACGCCTAATGACGCAACAGTTAATTTGTTGTTATTTGTTTAAAATTTCAGCTTAGTTTAGCAAACCTGCATACATACACCATATCCTGGGATCGGGAAGGTATTAACCCAGACGGAAATCGCAACCATAAGCATTATTTGGACAAGTTAGCAAACGAGTTTCATGATTCCCTCAAAATGAAAATAGAACCAATGATTTTATCTGAAAATTCCAGCAAGTCAGAGATGAACCAATTCTATGAAGAGCTATCCCAGCATATCAAATTTATTTACCATAGGTAATAAATTAGAGTCAATATGTATTTTATATTTTTGTCTCCAAGAATTATGTAAACGCTATCCGAGCATATCAACTTTATTCACCATAGGTAATGAATTAAATTAGAGGCAATATGTATTTTATATTTCTTGTCTTCAAGAATTATGTAAACACTATCCCAGGATATCAAATTTATTCACCATAGGTAATAAATTACAGTAAATATTTATCTTGACTTCAAAAATCGTGTAAACTATTTGTTTATAGCGGGTCATTGTCTAGCTACTGAATAAGAGTCACGGCCACATAAAATGTTCAATAAATGGTGATAAATAGAGACTGGAAGTAGTACATTATTATATAAACTGATGAAAGCCTAATGATTAAGGATTAACTCTAAGTTAAAATTTAATTCTAAGCTTAAATATATGGATATACCTATCTGATGACCAAATTCTGTTTTATATTCGCAGATCAAACTGTTTCTTTGGGTTTGGTAAAGTTCTCAGTAATATTAAAGAATATTTGTGCAATACAACCAACCAGCTCCTCATATTGCATGGTAAAGCTGGCTGTGGAAAATCTAGTCTGATGGCCAAGGCATCGCTTATGTTACCTTCATGGACGAAAGGGTAAGGAATTATTAGAAATAAAACATATGTTTTATAATAAATTGACTTTTCTGCTAAGCCCTGTCCATTGGATATTATTGCCAAGGTAACACAAAACGACAGCGCAAAAATAAGTAAACACGTGCGTTTATGAGACAACACGTGCATTTGTGCGACAATCTTGGTCTTGTTCTTATTGGTCAGTGTTCTTATTGGTCAGTGTTCTTATTGGTCAGTGTTCTTATTGGTCAGTGTTCTTATTGGTCAGTGTTCTTATTGGTCTTGTTCTTATTGGTCAGTGTAGGCTTGATTGAATACTCCGAAAAGGTCAATTTATTAGTTTTCTTGCGGTATATCCTACTATTACAACAGCAAAAAAATGAAAGTCTTTCCAAAGAAAAATTTTAATGTGATAATAAAGGTTTATATCTTTTCTCTATAGGTCAAAACTTGCTATAGTTGTGAGATTCATCGGAGCTACAGCTGACTCTGAAATGGCCCGTTGTTTACTCAGGGGCATGTGTATTCAAATTTCGAATATATATGATCTAGATTCAACAACGATACCAGAGGTAATATTTACATTTCTATACAGTTTCATTTACTGTGTTGACATATATATATATTATGCAAATTTGCTATTTCACGAATAGCTCTATGATGTGTTATAAATTTTGTTTTAATTATAGGATTATTTTGGATTGATCAATGATTTCGCTGGAAGAATACAGGCTGCAAGTTACGAGCGCCCTCTGGTAATCTTTATTGATGGCCTTCATCAAATGTCGCCGGAGAATATTACAGCTAGCGAAGGATGGCTGCCAAAAGACATACCTCCAAATGTTCACATTGTTTTATCATCTGCGGATGATGCTTCATATACGACGTTTAAATCATTGAAGGTAATATATACATTTTATTTTAATTTTTTAATCTAGCGACGACAATACTATGTAAACACTTGGAATATTAGTATTTGGCTTGACCGCCGACACAAAATCTGGGAGATATAAAATTGGCTTTTTTTCCTCTCTTTTTGTAGAAAAACTACGGAGGTATAAAAAACCAAAAAACCGAAAATACTTGTATAATGTGTTAAAATGTTCCGTATTCCATAGGGCTCCCTTATGCATCAGACCTATAATACAGTTTAGAATGTAGAGATGTTTTGTTAGTAGTGAAACTAATTTGACAGGAGTTTAACAAAGTACCCCGAAATCTGTTGGTACGCATGTTAACCACCATTCAAATGCTCCACTACGGTACATCACTAATTGAATATTATCTTATTTATAATACACAGAAACAATTTCCGTCTGCGAATTTCTTACAAGTGCCTGATTTATCAGAGAGGGAAATTTCCACCATATTGTACCATCACCTATCGCTCGGAAATAGAACATTGACTGAAGAACAACAAAGCTACTTAATTGATTGTGTACTTGAAAACCCAACACATCTGTATCTTGAAATGGCAATAAGAGAAGCACTAAAATGGAAAAGCTATTCACTCCAAAAGGAAACGCGTTTAGGAAGCACATCTAAAAAGCAGATAAATGGTAGGTTACTTATACAGTTTTGTAGCAGTGCTAAATATGAATAAACGAATACACAATATATAGTTATTCATACATAATCCAAGTTACTTGTGGTAACGAGTATATGTTGAGATTTATTTTATTGTTAATTGCGTTTACACAAAAATCCAACGTTTAGATAGGAAAGGGATTCATTCCGATCAACAAAAACAGAACCTTGGTAAGCATGAAAATGTTTACATCCATTACGATCCTCGAAAAATCGGGAGATGGTAAGAGAAACTCTGGATTGGAAGGAACACTAATAGAGCAATTTCCCGATCCAAATAAACCTTTTTAGCAAAAAGAAATCTTACCTGTATTATGATGATACGCTATATTATTATTGTCGATTTTGAAAATTCGAATCTATAAATCTTCTACTTGATAGGCTCCGAATACAATATATCTAAAACATCAATGCCAAAAATGTTTTGTTTCAGCATTTTTTCTATCTTTGGAGCAATCCATCGGTGAACCAGTTGTACGCAGGGCAATAGGTTATTTGACGGCATCTAAGTGTGGGCTTACGGACAACGAAATGGAGGACCTTCTTTCGTTAGATGAAGCTGTCATGGATGACATTGTGAGTACAAATGGGACTCCGTTGCATCGTCTTCCTCCGGCTATATGGTCCAGGATGAAGGAGTTACTTAATCCCTACCTCACTCGGACTACTTGCTGTGGACTAATATTATACCGGTGGGCATATCACCTGTTCAAAGAGGTTGCAACTGAAAGGTATATACTCGGATTTATGTCCAATTGCAAATATTTATAAATTATTATTTGGCATATTCAAAAAAAGTCTCACACATCGAAAATAGCCGTACTGATTCTGTAGTGTAATGTAAACGTCACCATCATCATTACCATTTACAACATCACATTATTATGATCGTCATAATTATTCTTATTATTAGTATTACTGTTCTTGTTTACAGGTATCTCTTATCTAAAGACAAAGCACCATCTTATCACCTTGCACTCGCCGAATATTTTTCTGGTAAATGGGCTGACACACCTAAACCTTGTAAATCAAGTGAACAAGGAAAACTGCGGTTTGTGGATTCTCAGTTATTAGCGTACGAAAGTAATTTGTCTCCAGGTATATGATCTTAATTTATTAATATACATCATCGGTCAATTTATCATTTGCATTGTATTACGTTGTTGGCTATAAGTCTGGGTTTGAGGTTCACTGATTAAATAGCTCCCTCTGAATACCTATAGCCTAGAGTGTGCTGTTCATTGTTATTGTCCTGAGAGCTATGCTGGCAGAAGCATAAGCTTCTGGCAGGGTCACCCAAGCCAGAAAAGTCAAAGGGCGTTAGGACATGTGCACCAGCAAGGGTCTCTGGAACCCCAATTTACAAGAGTGAAAGAGTTATCCAAAATATACACTGGTCACCAGAAGTTTTGGTTACGGTATCTGTTCTTTCTTCCTATTTTGTCTATGAATTGTGTTTAACCATTCAATATATA